TTGTTCGATTTTTGACGATCACGCCATAAATTTCTAGAAAATAAAGTTTGACTCTCCCTACAACAAAATTCTCTCTACATGAAATCTTTTTCTTGGTTTCCTCGAATTTCGTTGCAGCTAACCCCTTCAACGGGGGAGAACCCCATGGGACAAAAATCGTTGCACAGAGACAATTGTCACAAAGATAAAGTCCATCTGCTGTAGTTCAATATAATTTCAAGAATGATCCAACAACATTTTCTTCAAAAGTCTGCCGAATTTGTGACGATCTATGAATCATACTCATGCGGGGTTTACAACATATATCGTTCAATCATGATAAGATAAAATTTTTAATCAAAGCACTATCTCCGCGAGGATTGAAATTCAAAACGCTCAGCTGAACTAAGTTAAAAAAAACTAGCAGGACTTATTCGACTGTAATTCATTTACTCGCTTGAAAAAATAATGATCAGATCATTAAACGACGGGAATTTATTTTGCTTCGAAGAAAGTACCTCTTACGTATATATAAGCGACTGCAAATTATTTGAATCAGGATACAATTCTAAACCAATCCAAATTAATCTACAAAAAGTTACATAATTCATTCTAGTTATATATAAACACTGATAAAGTATTATTTATGGCATGTGACTATAAGCATGCTATATTTATACAGATACCTTTTCCAAACTGCGATGTCAAGTTTCCGGATTATTCGATTGCTTATTTTTTTATAAATTCAATATCCGCGTAAAATACGCTGATAGCATCATAAATCAACGATTTCATTCCATTGATGATGATTGCAATTCAAACGATTGATTTATCATCACTTTCAATAGTGACGACACACCCAAAAATTATCAAGCTAAAATTCAATAAACCAACCTTATGCCGATCTTTGAAAAATAGTTTATGTAACGTGACCTTAATGGATTATTTCCTTAAAATTGCACAAGATTACAGCACTTGAATAAAATCGGAGAAACTCGAGGATTACAGAAAACAAGCGTTTATATGTGAAAACTATTTTTATATAAGGGAGTATTTAATACTACTGTAATACTAATGTAAATATTCAATGGGGATGAATCATGCTTAAATGTTTGTGAACCACACATATTCGAATTTATTGAAGGAGCATGAATAAATTATTGGCGATTAAATTATCTTTTTCCTTCGCAACGATGAAAATTTTAAGGCAGAAATAATTATCTTTGAAATTTGTTTCCTTTATTTTGTTAATGCATGCTTTTCAAATGTATTTTTCGAAACAATGAAATCATCTTTTAAATAAGCTTATCAAGCATGAAATCAAATTTCAGGCTGGTCTTGCTCTGGCTGGATTGGCGAGCATCGGGCTCGGGATTCTGCTGTCGTACGGACTCAGTTCTGGACTCGGAATTTTTTTCGGGGGGAACGTGGTCTAAGATGGTAAAAACAACGAGCCTTAGCCGTAGCTGTTGTACAAGCAGTAACACGTCACGATGCTTTTGGAGCTGCTACTGCTCTTTGACCTCGGTGAGCTGCAAGCTTAGCCGTAAACAATGAAACACGCCGGGGCCGCGATCACTGTCACTTCCGGCACGGATTTCGCCGCGTTTGCCATCGGAGCGTCCTGCCACTCTCTGCCGTAAACCATTACTAAAGCACTTTTTCAAGATTCAACCTGCTACGACGGTTTTAATACATCATTTATCCAATACGTGCCTAATCTTCTTCGAGAGCGTCGTTAGCGAGAAGTAGCAGTATACGTTTTGTGGCATTTTTCGAGGATCATCGCAGCAATATCCATCAGCAACAATTTTAATTCATACCACGAGTAATGTACAATAATTGATGATAAATCGATGGGTTTCAGCATTTTCAAGCTTTAAAAGTTTGCATAAACGCATTCAGCAAGGGTTCCAGTGTGTTTTTTAATATTTGAAAAAGCGAGTCCCTTACAATTCCAATTTGAATTTTTGGTTCGTTTTTTGTTTTTGTTTTTGTTTTGCAATCAAATAGTCATTTTGCGAGCAATATTAAAATTCTAAAGCAAAAGCCTCCAATCGCCATCGGCTACAGACACTGTTTCAGAAAAGATATGCGCATAAATAATCAGCATCGAGAATATAAAGAATTAAATTAAATGCTAAAACTAGAATCCAATGTTTCAGCAATTTCTTTTCGCCGTCGTAGAAAAAAAAAAGTTTCCAGGAAAGAAATTTCATTAGCCTGAACGCAATGGAAAATTGCAATTATTTCGCGGGTATAGTGTACTAGTTTTGACTTAAAGAAAGCATTTAAAGTCTAAAATGGTCGCAACGTCAGCAAAACAGAAATGCGACGTTAGCCCTAAGAACCCAACATGAAAAACGTTACGTGTAAAAAGTGCCGGACCAAGCACTTGGATGTCAAACGGGTCGAAAGCAATCGGAACGGGATTCTTTGCTGTTGCTACAAACACGGTCGTGACTACAAGCCATCAGAATGCAGTAAAAAGGACTTGACGAACGTGATTTTTGACAAGGTCATCGCCCAGAATATGGTCAAACTACCCGTCAAGGTATACCCAATTTTTATTACTATTTTTTCACTTTTTTTTACTGACATTTAAATTCATTTAAGAGATTAAAGTTGTCCTCGGAATCTATGCAATTCAAAGAATCCACGATGAAGCTAATTTAGGTGCCGAACTGTATATATCTCCATTTTTTTGAAATCACATAGTCTACGACCGCATCCGAGTCAAACACTTTTTGCGTCCACATCAATAACACGATTTTTTTTCTTCAAAAAATCCCGTCTTTAATGGAGATTTTCAAAAAATTTGACGCGAAAGTTCAAAAAATGAAGTTAACCATCAAAGAGCTCATCCGTTTTCATCACCACAATACATTATTTCATCACATAGCAGCAGTAGGATTTTCCAATTACGCTGGATTTCACACCATGTTTAAAAATATACGATGAGGATATTTGAAGCTTGAAAGGTTGAAAACAAAGGTTTTTAAATACGAAACTGAAATTCTGTCAACAACAAATTTTTTTCTGGTCCCTTTAATTTTTTTCTTAAGGAGAAGTCCAGATATCATTTCCTAAAATGTTTGGCTTACTAAAATCATTTTATTTTCTCCTACATTTCTTTCTGAAAGAGAATTTTTGTATTAAAAGAAGGACTGAAGAATATTACTACGACAGGTGGACTTTCTCTGTACACTGAAATTCAAGGGAGCAAAAAAAATTGTTTTAGACAGAATTTCGTTTAAGAGAATCCCTCATCCTCCTTTGGGGGAGAAACCTTTGGGTTGCAGAGAAAATCGTTGCATACGAAATCTTTGGAAAGATATAGAGTCCACATCATATGTATTAAATAACGCCTTTAAAAATTTTTGGCATTTTTCTCTCAAAATTTTCGGAAAAGTAGCGCCTTTCTAAATTCCTGTAACCCCCCAAGTTTTGCCATTCGCTTTTTGGATTTCGCTGATACAGTATATTCAAAATTTCGCAATTGATTTTGAAACCCGGAAAATCCAGGTTCTGGTGCTCATGGCAGCTTTGGGGCTTCTTGGAGCGAACATCTACGGATTTACCCAATTGGAACAAAAATTCGATCCCATTTGGTTCGTTCCCGAATCGTCGCTAGCGCGACAATTTTCCAACGCAGCGGACGAACAATTTCCTTCCGGAGGACAAGTTGGATCAGTGTATTTCACCAGCCTGAACTACTTTCAAGATATTCCGAAAATCGAACGGATTCAGCGAAATCTATTGGACTCCAAGAATGCTAGAATCGGATCAATCGATTCTTGGGCCACTGACTTTTTTCTTTTCATCAATACGACTGCCGAAGGTTAGTCTTTTTTTTTATTAGTAGCTTGTTGATTCGGGCGAATGGTCCATGCGGTGTTTATATATATTTTAAACGTCTATTCAAATATATATGTTTCCACTGCTATAGAATACGATAAAAATCCGATGAGCAAAGAAAAGTTTTCCGAAACCATGTGGAGTTTCTTGTGCGATTCTCCGTACGGGTTTGCTGTGCGCAACAGCTTTCTCTTCAATAACTCCTTGGATTGCTTGAACACCGCCAATCCAGTCATTGAAGACATTCAGGTATAGACAAAGAAGGCTCTTTAAATCAGAATAGAGTTTGATTCCCAATCTATTCATTCAATTCACAGGCCAGCGTTTTGAATTACCAATACGATTCCATGAGCGGATCCGCGATTCAAATCGAAGCCATGAGAACAACCAAGGAAATCATTGCTAACGAACAGCTCGTTTCCGGTTAGTATATAATAACTATCTTTTCTTGCCGTGATCGGATTTAAATTCAACAAAAGGACATTTAAAATAGTTGAGCCGGAAGCGGAAGTCGGGGCATTTGCATTTTCCCCGGCATTTGGAAATTGGATCACTGACGAAGTTATTGGCGACGAATTGTTGCGGAATATGTTGCTGGCCTTGCTGTGTGTGCTGATCATGACATTGATACTCATCGCATCAATACCGACTTGCCTGATGGTGCTGCTTTGTCACTAAGAATGGGACCATTCGAGAATAAGTTGAGAAAGTTAAAATCGAAATTTTTTAATTCTACTTGTCTAACGTACGAAGTCGTACTTCGTCAGAGCTGCTCAGGAGAGACGTTTTAGCCAAAGGACCTCGTCGCTTTGAGGAAACATGCAGTGTTACAGCTAGTGCTGGTGGTCTTTTTCTGAAACGATCTTTTCTACAAGGATTCTATATCGTTAGAATGAATACTTTTTCGTTACCATTCGGCACCTCTCCCCATGATACGGGGTTTTACACGACGAAATTCCACTTGAAACGATTTTTTGGTCCCTTGAATTTTGTCTTAATAATAGAGAGTCCACCTATATTTACCAGCAACTGTGAAGATAACCGTTTTTTCAGTTTTTTTTGTGGCACACGAAGTTACGTGAATACTTCTTTTATGATTTTTGCAGACTTTCACGAACTGTAATTACGCGGGAATAAACAAATATATTTTCACTGAAGACATTTGCTGGAAAACCTTAATTTTTCAAAGTATGCAGATTTCCAGCAACAACAAAAAACTCAGGTTTGAAGAAAATGATCACTTTTTTTGGAAGGAAATTCTCGTGATTTTAGATCAAAGAATCTTTCTCTGCACTATATGTACTGATTTGCTCACACGAACCAGGCCGTGAAAAATGTGCATTGCAAAAAGTACAACCCAAGAATCCCGATTGCAGCGTAAAGACAAAACGACTGCAACGCTGGTAAAATCTGAAATTTACGAAAGAAATTCAGTTTTGATATACACTATACCCGCGAAATAATTGCTATTTTCCCTTGCGTTCATGCTAATGAAATTTCTTTCCTGAAAAAGATTTTTTTCTACGACGGCGAAAAGAATTGCTGAAACATTGGATTCGAGTTTTAGCATTAAATTTTATTTTTTTATATTCTCGATGCTGATTATTTATGCGCATGTCGCATGTCTTTTCTGAAACTGTATCTGTAGCCGATGGCGATTGGAGGCTTTTGCTTCAGAATTTTTTTATTGATCAGCAGATGATTCTTTGATAAATAAAAAAACGAAGCAAAAATTCAAATGGGAATTCTGAGGCACCCGATTTTTCTAATATTAAAAAACACACTGGAACCGTTGCTGAATGCGTTTATGCAAACTTTTAAAGCTTGAAAATGCTAAAACCCATCGATTTATTATCAACTATTGTACATTACTCGTGGTATGAATTAAAATTGTTGCTGATGGATATTGCTGCGATGATCCTCGAAAAATGCCACAAAACGTATACTGCATGAAGTATGAAGAGCGATTGCTGCGAGAGCTTCTTCTAATCCGTGCATAACCTATTTACTACATAATTTTGGCAGCATCGTCCAACTTAGAACTTTTTCACGAAATCATTACCAAATGCCGTCTCTCACCGTCGACGCTCCGATGGCAAACGCGGCGAAATCCGTGCCGGAAGTGACAGTGATCGCGGCCCCGGCGTGTTTCATTGTTTTGCCGATTCGAACGTCGAGTGGCTCCAGTTTCTCGTCATCGTCGAGGTTTTCGTAGCACTGCACAATGACGAACATGTTGTCGATGCCGATTCCGAGCAACAAAAATGGTAGAATCTGGTGCAAGGGTCCGAAAAAAATCCCGAGTCCAGAACTGAGTCCGTACGACAGCAGAATCCCGAGCCCGATGCTCGCCAATCCAGCCAGAGCAAGACCAGCCTGAAATTTGATTTCATATGAGACGAAGCTTATTTAAATATGATTTCATTGTGCCGAAAAAATACATTTGAAAAGCATGCATTAACAAAATAAAGGAAACAAATGTCAAAGAGAATTATTTCTGCCTTAAAATTATCATCGTTGCGAAGGAAAAAGATCAATTAATCGCAAATAATTTATTCATGCTCCTTCAATAAATTTGGCTCACAAACATTTTACAGTAGTATGATTCATCCCCATTGAATATTTACATTAGTAATACAGTAGTATTAAATACTCCCTTATATAAAAATAGTTTTCACATATAAGCGCTTGTTTTCTGTAATCCTCGAGTGTCTCCGATTTTATTCAAGTGCTGTAATCTTGTGCATTTTTATGGAAATAATTCAATAAGTTCACGTTACATAAACTATTTTTCAAAGATCGGCATAAGGTTTGTTTATTGAAGTTTAGCTTGATAATTTTTGGGTGTGTCGTTACTATTGAAAGTGATGATAAATCAATCGGTTGAATTGCAATCATCAGTGGGATGAAATCGTTGATTTATGATGCTATCAGCGTATTTTTGGTGGATATTAAATTTAAAAATATAGCAATCGAATACTGTAATCCGGAAACTTGACATCGCAGTTTGGAAAAGGTATAAATATAGCATGCTTAGTCACATGCCATAAATAATACTTTATCAGTGTTTATATATAACTTGAATGAATTATGTAACTTTTTGGAGATTAATTTGGAGTGGTTTAGAATTTGATCCTGATTCAAATAATTTGCAGTCGCTTATTATATACGTAAGAGGTACTTTCTTTGAAGCCAAATAAATTCCCGTCGTTTAATAATCTGATCATTATTTTTTCAAGCGAGTAAATGAATTACAGTCGAATAAGTCCTGCTACTTTTTTTCACTTAGTTCAGCTGAGCGTTTTGAATTTCAATCCTCGCGGAGATCCAGATAGTGCTTTTATTAAAAATTTTATCTTATCATGATTGAACGATATATGTTGTAAACCCCATGAGTATGATTCATAGATCGTCACAAATTCGGCAGGCTTTTGAAAAAAATATCCTTGGATCATTCTTGAAATTATATTGAACTACAGCAGATGGACTTTATCTTTGTGACAATTGTCTCTGTGCAACGATTTTTGTCCCATGGGGTTCTCCCCCGTTAAAGGGGTTAGCTGCAACGAAATTCGAGGAAACCAAGAAAAAGATTTCATGTAGAGAGAATTTTGTTGTAGGGAGAGTCAAACTTTATTTTCTAGAAATTTATGGCGTGATCGTCAAAAATCGAACAAGCTTTTGATCTGTTTTTCATTATCCATCAATCTTGCACTTCCATCTCCTTATTGACAGTTCATGGGGAAAGAATAAACTTACCCGAATTTCTACGAGATTCCGTCTTCCCAGGACCAGAATTACGTAGATGAAGACTAGCACGTATCCACCGAACAAAAGCTGCAAATCGCCGAGAATGGCATCTGCAGTTGCATCCATGAAACTTCTAGCAGCGTTTTGAAATACTTCCGATTCTTTTTCAGATTCTTTCGTGAATGCGTCCACAGTATCGACGAAAGCACTTTCCCAGGCCAACGTCGCTTTATC